ATCCTCGGAAGCTGCATATACTATTTTGTGCAGTGCGGCGTCCACTTGACTTGCGTCATCAAAGGATATTTTACCGAAATCCGGTTTTGTTCGCATTCCCTTGAGGTATTTGATCACATGAAAGTGACAAATAAGGATTCTTGCCTCAGGAAAATTCGCCTCCAGCACCCTTTTCTCGCTCAAATCCTTGTCTACAACGATCACACTCAGCAGTTTATGTGCGTTGGATGGAGCCTCTTGAAATGGGAAATGGCTCGTTCCCTGTGCTAATTAGCTTCACTAAGAGACTGCTGATCAACTGCTCCCTCCCCGGACGCGCTCATGCCCATTAATGTTAGTAGCTGATAATTATATCTACATATATCATGGCCAATATCCTGTATTAGTCCGGTACAAATCCACTATTATTTTTCTTTCAAAATACCAGAAACGTACCGATTCGTCTTGTGGCTACCGTCGACAAGAAGAACCTCACTAAAAACGTGCAAATACCCTCCGCATGTGGGCACTCGACAGAGATTTCACTCCAGTTTCTTCACAATCAGTGTCTGCCACAGTCGAAAGGTTTTCAGAATCAGCAGCCGCAAAAACGCGGATTTTCTAGCCGTCGCCTCGTTATCATCCACGTTTGTCCCGGAGGAGGTGTGATCTCGAACTAAATTATCAACGTCTGCCCCCACGACGTTCTGGTCAAGTTCCAAGAGATATGCATAGATTCGAAATCGTTTCGCGCTAACTTCCTACACCCCCTGCACACGTGCACACACCACAGGGTCCAAAACACCTCGTGACTTGGGATACGTATCAAAAATGGCTAGAGAAAAATAATGGCTGTGCGAGAAGACCCCACTTTTCACCTGTAGCTCTCCACGCGCTAAATTCCACTGGGCCACGAATCGAAACGGACAGTTGGTCAGCCGGATGTGCTGCAGTGGCCGGCTGCCTTCACTGCGGGACTTCCGCTTTTTTCCAGCCCTGCGTGCAGATGTAGGTGCGCTGATAGGGGTCGTATCCCTCTGAAACCAGCTAAATATCATTCACGCCTTTCTAAGTCTTCTTTAGTCGCTTGTTTCGCTCAGCACGTGACATTTTCTCCTTCACGGGGATAACCTGCATCGTTCGCCGACAGTAATCAATGAAGTACGACTGCCAGGCTTCGCAGTTGGCATGGTACTCCACGGGCGGGTCTACGGACACAGTGACGGCATCGCTAGCGTTTGTACTGTCACCATCTTCTATTGCAAGATCTGATCTTGAAGAATGCCAAGCCTCTACATCACGACCTTGTTCTACATCCATACGTTCACCCTCTATTAAGTACTTGTCACCACCCGTGGGCTCGTCAATCTGACTAGTGTGTCTTCTGTCGGTGTCTTTGGCGCTACCTCTATCATTTTGCACGTCAGTCTGTATGCCAGGCTGTGAAGTATTTTGCTCATGAGCTGGACACATGGCTTCCTTCGCGATGGCGTCGGCCGGAACTGCTGCAGCAGCGCCGGCATCGTCTTGACGCATCTTATCGCAAGCTGGTAAAAATGAAAATGAAACGATACCGTTGGAGAATTTATTCTCATCGGAAATAAACGAGTCGGTAAGGAATCGAGCCGGCATGAAATGTCTTATTTTGCAATCCTGGCGCCAACCATGACTGAGGCCTGTACAGTTCCATGTCAATAATCCTGACCTGCAACGGTTTCAATATTTAATCCGGAAAACCTTCCATTCCATGACTCATTATACTGCTATGATGTATCTTTTTAAGCAAATCAAATGTCGGAAAAGCGTGCCGTGACGGAAAGACGGACGGACATTGATTTTATTTACTTGTCAGCCGCCGGTTTGAGACCCCGGTGAAATGGGCACATGCCTTCGCTTCGCTCAGGCGGAAACATGATCTTATATTAAACGTTACGTATTTAATGCATATGAAAGTGAACATTCCTACTCCGAACCAAAGATCTGCCAGAGAACAATGTTATGGGTGTAAGCCCGATTTGCATCCTCCTGCTTTGGGTACTCAACCAGCGCCTTTGATTTTGATCTTGAAGTCACTCACGACATCGCAACTGCCCGTGGGAGAAGCAAGATATGACAAGATACAGCCAGAAGTACTGCACTGTTTGTCCTTGCATCCTTGTTAATGAGCATATCAGAGGCGGGTTGGATAGGAAACGTGAAAGCTCCGAATGCCTCCGTCACTGATGAAAACAATGCGGGAAATCGACACATGTTGCCCTTGGCGCTCACCTATCATGATTATGGCGTGGATGGCATGTGGCTTGAGGGTCACGATTCGATGCCGTGTTCGGTTGCAGATCTGGATTCAGGTTCATAATCATCATGATAGACATTCCTACCTTGAGGGTCATCTAGCGTAGAAGGGGGAGGGGGCACCGAGATTCATCTAGTGGAGAACCTGCTCGAAGAAATTACCGCCAGCGTCGTCTTGTAGAGAGTCGGAAGACATGTATTCCAGCGCGTGTCCAGTTAATCGGTTGGCCGTCGTTACATTGCTGCAGCGGATGATTGAGCTCGTGGTCGTGACGATTGTTTGGTTAGCGAAATAGTCGTTGGTAGCAACCTCGGGGTTATTAACCTCACCATGCATCTCGTCAATGATCATATTATGCCGCTTGGAATAAGGCTAGAATGAATTTTTTTGTCCTCGTCATCTGGCACAGGTGGCTTCTCAATCAGCATATCGCGTGAAATCTTCATGCAATCGCTTTTAGAAAACGGCTTACATCATGGTTTTCCCCCCAGACTTGCAGCAGAAACTCGTAGTGCGCAGCCATTTTCTCAGCAGGGTCTGCCGTATCAGCAGTGCGCACTCGCATGTTCTCCGTAAGACGGAACGTCTGGAATTGGGGCCACAGCCTAGACGACTTAAGGCGAGCGTCAGTTTTCTCGACGGGTGCTCAATTCTTCACGACCGGGAGAATCGGGCGAAAAGCTCCTGAAAGTACAGCCACGTTCCCGCCAAAAGGCCCAGTATCGGTGTCAAGTATGCCCCGTATTGTTCGGTCGACTGCCTCAAACGCGTTGCGATGAGTCATTGGTGCTTGTCCCAAATAATGAAACTTGCATGCTTGGTCAATTCTTGAATATGGGAGTTCTTCCATATACAGCACGTCGATCTCTCGTTCTTTTTAAAGGAATTTTGAATGTCGAATGCGCTGTCCTACCACCCATGAACAAGAGCGAGGCAATACCACTGGACGCCACATGGCTTTTTTCCGAAAGTTTAACTTTGGCCAGTGTGTTTCGAAGCAATGTAGATTTTCCAGTACCACCGCGGCCATCGACAAAAATAGTTTCTTGCCCTCCTCCGAGCATTCAACCGCTTCAATGATCTGGTCGTAAACCACTTGCTGACCTTCGTTCAGCTAACCTTCTGTGTTTACAATCACCTGCAAAGCTGACGCATCGTATCCAGTGAGCTCACGTGGTAGTAATACATTTTGGCGAAACGATTCACGAGCTAATATGGGGAGCGACCCCAATTGAGGAAGCTCGTCAAAGTCTCCTTTCGCATACCCGTTCGATTGAAGTAGCTCTTGGATGCTCACAGCACTTCAAATTCTACCAGCGCGGACTTGAAGGGAACCATCAAATATTGATGTTTGCGCGCGAAGGCTTAGGGAAAATCAGCGAAAACCCGATCGCATTCCGCATCAACATTTGCTGATCTTGATACATTAGAATGGTGACATAGAGCTGGCGTAGTTGGTACAGCATTTAGAACTCAGCAGCTTCCGTCAAACAGGAGACCACTCGTGTCATTCTCCAAGTAACTACCCCCCCCCCGCGCGCCGCAATTAGGAATGTGGGGCAGATAATCCCGTTAACCACTCTCAAGTCTTTAAACGACATTAAAGCGTTAGCTGATAGAACCGCTTAATATCGCAAGGAGACACGTGAATAATGCGATCAACCGCAGCATGATATTTTTTTGGCGAGCCTACCTTTCTGGTTGCCCTTTTTGCGGCTCTTTCCAACAGAACGCTTTAGGCATGCCCTGATACAACACTGTCCTGGCAGTGTGATTTTGTGGCACCTCACTCGCACACAACGCAAAGAATCTGGCAAGCATTGTGCTACTACCACGTATCAAAACCGCCTCTGGGTTGTCCATCTCGCGGAAGCAAACCGTCTGCCCTGACTCGAGACGAACGGCTAGCTGTGTTACCGCATGTTTTTTTCTTTGAATAGTGAAATCGAGCAGGATTATGCAAGCCTCCACTGGAGAAATGTAACGGACGCTCAAGAAACGTTGAATCTCGTTTGGCACTCGACGTGCACACTGCCGTCCTCCTCGAACTTCTTCCACAGTGAGTGCATCCATATCGGGCCCTTTGTACAAGTACTTGTACAGATATGTCCGTTGTTACGGGGTAAGCGTTACCTTCACTAGCCTAAACTATAGAGTGGAGGAAGCTCGCAATAATAAAACCAAGTCTTAGGTTTGTGTCGAATTCAACTTAGATTTATTTGGACCAGGGCGGCTACCCTTGGTCTCGTGTGAACCACTCAAGTACATTTCTACACCTAATTGGTCAATAAGTGAGTCTGGCTTGTCACTATCAACCGATCGGATGATGACACCTTGGCACACTGGCAGCGTGTGCCACTTTGCCTACTAGGGAATTACTAAAGAAATATCTACCTACTTATGTCATTGGGGTTGGGCTCGTTACATCTAAGTTGCACTTACGCAACATAAGGGCACGGAACACATTTGAAGAAAACATGAAAACCGATGTAGCGGAGACATCAGAGACAGCGCGAAGGTTGGTGGCGCCAGCGCGTCGCTGGCGGTGATGACAAGGGCAAGCCCAGGATCGACAAGTGCGCCACGATCTCTGGATGTACTGTTAGGACCGCACTGCGCCTCTCGGCTCCTAAGACACACATCGACGAAGCGGCCAGCGCACATGCGACTTTAGAAGATTCCAAGCTTAAGTCACTTGCATCGCGGACACGAGGAACCTCACAATGCCGGCTTCGTGGCGCAGTGGTCAATGCGTATGGCTTCCAGTCAGGACGCCAGGGTTCGATTCCCACCAGGCGGATCCTCTCACGCACACGCGAGTGTTGTTATGCTGCCAGTGCAAAACGATTTCGGACATGTCAAAGACATAAGACTTGTTGACGAAGGTCAATCACTTTAGCGACCCAAGTGAGCATCACGTTGTCACCACTTGTGTCACCAGAAACAGGTACTTGTTGACAGCCGTGCCGCCGCTGGTAATCGAAGATATTTCGGCGCAGTCGTAGCGTGTCGGGTTGGCAACCCACTGGTCACCGGTTGGATGTCGTCGGTGGATTCGTGTTATGTCAGTGTTCGCCACGGCTCGCGCCAACGCTGCACGCATCGGAGCACGGCGTCGTTGTCGCCTCCTCGTACGGGTCGTTCGCGTGGGCGCTCTCGATCTCGTTCACAGTCTCGGCGGGGTGACCTGCGGAAATCCTCATTTCATGCAAATTGGTCTCGTACCCGTAGACCACGCCCGGAACGTCGCGGAGGAGGTTGGCGCGAGGCTCCCTCGTATCACGCTCCGGGGCAGAACCGACCCAGCTTACCAGATAGCGGTGCGCGGTCAAGGAAGCGCTAAGCGTACGGCTGCGAACGTCACATTGGGCAACCGAACTATGTGGATCTTCGTGGCCAACGATACGCTCCACAATCCAGCGCGCTTCACCCAACGAGTCAATTATCGTTGGTGGCCTTCACGGTGATACGACGTACACCCTGTATACACAGGGCGAGGTGGAGGCTGCTTCTAGCCGCGCGTTGGACGCTCAGGTTGGAGCTGAACGGGCGCAAGAACGTGCGTGGCGGACGGATGGGCTTCTGGGGCATCAGGTTTGTCGGGCTGGTCGCCCGACGCATGCTCCGTCTGGTGGCTTGCGTATAGAATCGTCGTAGGGATATATCGCTTGAGTCGCCCGACGTAGAAGGTCGGGTGGAGTCTAAGTGACGACGGGATGTCCAGCGTGTAGGCGTCACGCACAACCTTGGTTACTCGAAAGGGGTCGATGAAGCGTGGAGCAAGTTTGTTTACGCCGAGGTTGGTTACGGCAGAAGCGCGGATTTCCTTGGTCGATAGGAGAACGCGATCTCCTATCTTGAATAAATTCACGTTTTTAGGCCCGTGCTTATCAACTTGTTCCTTTTACTTGTCCACTGCATTCTGCAGTGCGTTGCGGACGAACCTTGAGATGGATTGCCTCTGCATGACGAATTCCGCAACTGCCGACCGATCGGCAGGAAGCACCAAGGATTTTGGTGTATAGCTGGCCGTGGTAACTTCCTGCTCGCGAATCTTGCTGCCTAAATCGAACAAGTTCTGCGATGTCCATCTCGTTATCGGAGATGCGGTACGTCGAGGAGGCTCAATGTTCTGGTTGGACGGAGAACGAGGAAAGGCGTTCACACTGGCGATACCCAAAGATAACTCTGAAGTCGAATTCGCCGGCAGGCCTGTTGGCACCGGTGAGGTTACCGGTGCGTGCTGAGACACCAGTTCACGAACTGGTGATGACCACAACGCGGACTCGTTGTCCACAGGACTGACCGCAGCATCAGCATCCATGTCGACCGAAGGAAGATCTCCCCCACCAAGGGTGGAGCCGCCGGCATCCGTGGGGTGGCCCACGGTGCGAAGTCCCGGAACACGTGGGTGTCGAGAACTGTTCACGAAGAACGGCGTCATGCCCGTCGAGGAGTGCTCAGCGTTGCTGAGTGCGAATTCGGCAAGCGGAAGAAACGAGCTCCGGCTCGTGTCAAAGTCGCGTAGCTGCGGAGAACGTCTTCAAGGGCTCGGTTGAAGCTTTTCGGTTTGTCCATCCGTCCCCGGATGCGCCGCGGTCGACATGAGCAATTTAGTTTCCGAGGGCTCGAAGAGGGGTGACCAGAGCGCGGATATAAGCCGCGGGTCGCGGTCGGACACATTAGACTCCAATAGACTGTGGTGACGAAACATCACGTCGCCGAAGCGGGCCGGGGTGATTGAGGCTGCCACCGGAACGTGATGGACCATCTTGCTGAAACGAACGACAAACACACAAGTACACCCGTGCGCCCGGCTGTATCGGGCGGAAGACAGAAGATGAAGTCCATCGAAATGGAGCGCCAAGCTTCCGTGGCACCCGGAAGAGGACGCAATGGAGATTGAGACGTCGGAGACGGTTTGACTCGCTGGCAAGTTTCACATGTACGGACCCACTTGCGTACCCACTTGTACATGTGCGGCCAATAGAAGTCTCGCGACTGAGCCGCGTACGTCTTCTCGCGACCGAGATGTCCTCCAGTCGGGGCGTCATGATACTCGTGGATTATGCGCGCACGTAGATCAGCGTCGTTTGGGACGTTGACTCGAGTTCCATCGAGCCTGTCGATGCTGTACTTCCATAGATTGCCGTCCAGTCGATATCGAGTAATCTGATTACGCGTGGTGCTTGACAGGGACTTAGCGTGTCACTACTAGGAGCGCGCAGGTGTTTCATGATGGCACCGTATAAAGGGTCATCATCGTACGCTGTAGCAATCTCGTCGCCCAGCGGGAGCGTGGGCGTGGTCAGCGTCACGTTGATGGGTGACGACACGCAGACCGCACATTCGTCGTCGTCCGCATCAGCCACCTGATGTCCTAGCGCTTCACGAGATCGTGTCCGGGAAGCCGAGACAGCGTGTCAGCGAGAATGTTATTCTTTCCCGGCTTGTAGTGAGCAGCTAAGT